TCCTGTGGGAACCACCAAGAGATCCTGTGGGCACCACCGAGAGCTCCCATGGGCACCACCGAGAGCTCCCGTGGGCACCAAGAGCTCGTGTGGGCACTGAGAGCTCCTGTGGGAACCACCAAGAGATCCTGTGGGCACCACCGAGAGCTCCCGTGGACACCGAGAGCTCCTGTGGGTACTGAGAGCACCTGAACCCCCAAATCCTCTCCAGAGAGCACCTGAAGTCCTCAAATCTTCTCCAGAGTCCTCCCAGGAGACCCTCAGCTCCCAAATCCTCTCCAGGGAGCACCTGAACCCCCAAATCCTCTCCAGGGAGCACCTGAACCCCCAAATCCTCTCCAGGGAGCACTTGAACCCCCAAATCCTCTCCAGGGAGCACTTGAACCCCCAAACCCTCTCCCTGGAGCACCTGAGCTCCCAAATCTTCTTCATGGAGCACCTGAGGCCCTGAACCTCTCCATGCAGCACCTGAACCCCCAAATCTTTCTCCATGGAGAACCTGAACCCCAAACCCTCTCCCTGGAGCACCCCAAGTCCCAGCCAGGCTCCCTGGCCCTGCCCTGGCCGTGCCAGCCCTGGTGCCACACTGTGCCCCGAGATTTTTACATTTTCTAAGGGGACGGGGCCGAGCCTCGGCCGGGGGATTTTTTCTGTAGTTTTTATTTTTTAGGAAACCACTTGGCCTTTTGCAGATCAGCTGCTGCTCCCTCCCAGCTGGGGAGGAAGGACGAGTTCTTCCTCTTCCTCTTGCCCAGTGCTGGGTGTTCCCAGCAGGATCCTGGAGCATCCCAGGGGAGCAGAGCTGGAGCTCCCAGTGTCCTTCCCGGAGGAAAATCTGCATTTTCACAGCGTGCTGGGATTGAAAAACCGAGCTGGGCACGAATCTGGCAACTGGGAGGGTGAATCTGGCAACTGGGACATCCCTCAGGGCCACCGAGCTGCTGGGCTGGCAACTCTGCCGGCCTCGGGGGGGCTGAGGTTAATTGCAATTAAATGGAGCAAATCACAGCCGCTCTTGGGGGGTTTTTGGCTTCTTTTTTTGGTCCCTTTTATGGTGGGGAGTGTCCCCGGGGGTGTGGCACGCCCTGGCAGCCCAGTTCTCACCAGCCTGCGGAGGCTGTTAGCCCAGGAGCTGCGAGGATGAGATTGTAATTAAATCACGCTGCTAATGAGGAGCTGGGTGAGCTGAGCCTCAGAGCTGCTGCAGGATCAGCTGCAGGATCACTGCAGGATCAGCTGCAGGACTTGGGCTGCAGGATCACTGCAGGATCGGCTGCAGGATCTGGGCTGCAGGATCACTGCAAGATCAGCTGCAGGATCACTTTAGGATCAGCTGCAGGATCTGGGCTGTAGGATCACTGCAGGAACAGCTGCAGGATCTGGGCTGCAGGATCAACTGCAGGACTTGGGCTGCAGGATCACTGCAGGAACAGCTGCAGGATCACTGCAGGATCAGCTGCAGGATCACTGCAGGACCTGGGCTGCAGGATCACTTTAGGATCAGCTGCAGGACCCGGGCTGCAGGATCACTGCAGGATCAGCTGCAGGATCACTGCAGGAACAGCTGCAGGATCAGCTGTTAAGCTGCCCGAGGTTATTTTTGGAGCAGCGATGCTCGGTTTACACTCAGCAGCACAGGGCACTGGCCGTGCTGTGGCACCCCCAGACGCACAAAATCTGCTTTGGCACCTCCCAAAATCACCTCAAAATCCCCCAAGAAACATCCAGGATGAATCCCTGAGGGACAGCTCTCAGGGAATTTAGGGCTGGGCTCAGGCTGCCTGAGGGATAAAACACCCAAAATGCTCAATTCTCACCCAAACCCCATTTTATCCCCAGAACTCCCCCAACAATTCCAACATCCAGGCATTTGTGGCAACAAAGTCCCCCCAGACCGTGCCAGGCGATTCCCAGGGAACTCCGGATTCTCCAGGAGAGGCACCCAGCTCAGCAGGAATGGGGGAAGCCCTTCCCGGGGAGGAATTCCTGGAGATTCCCGGAGTGTTCCTTCTCCCCAGCAGGGATTCGTTCCCCCGTCCCAGCGCTCAGTCCCGATTTTCCTGCGGCAGCAGCAATTCCAGGGCAGTTCCAGTCACTGCTCCTGCTCCTGCTGCTGCTCCCTGTCCATCCTCCTCCTCCTCCTCTCCGCCCCTCGCTGCCGTTTCCTGCTCAGCCGCAGCTGCCGCCGCCTCTCCAGGCTCTGCCGCGCCTTCTCCCGGCACTCCCGGTTCCGGCGGCGGATCCCGGCCAGCTCCGCCCGCCCGCGGGCCGCGCGCTCCGGGTCCTGCGGGGACACCGGGATGGGACACCGGGGCACGGGATGGGACATGGGGACACCGGGATGGGACACCGGGGCACGGGATGGGACACGGGGATGGGACACGGAACACGGGGATGGGACATGGGGACACCGGGATGGGACACAGAACATGGGGATGGGACACGGGGACACCGGGATGGGACACCGGGGCACGGGATGGGACACCGGGATGGGACACTGGGGCACAGGGATGGGACACGGGGACACTGGGATGGGACACGGGACACCGGGATGGGACACGGGGACACCGGGATGGGACATGGGGACACTGGGATGGGACATGGGACACGGGATGGGACACCGGGACACCGGGATGGGACACCAGGGCACGGGGATGGGACACGGGACACGGGGATGGGACACTGGGACACCGGGATGGGACACCGGGACGGGACACGGGACACGGGGATGGGACACCGGGACACCGGGATGGGACACGGAACACGGGGATGGGACATGGGGACACCGGGATGGGACATGGGACACGGGGATGGGACATGGGGACACCGGGATGGGACACCGGGGCATGGGATGGGACATGGGGACACCGGGATGGAACACAAGACACGGGGATGGGACATGGGGACACCGGGATGGGACATGGGGATGGGACACAGCCAGGGGATGGGACACCGGGATGGGACACGGGACACGGGGATGGGACACCGGGACACCGGGATGGGACATGGGGACACCGGGATGGGACATGGAACATGGGGATGGGACATGGGGACACCGGGATGGGACACGGAACACGGGATGGGACATGGGGACACCGGGATGGGACACGGGATGGGGACACTAGGATGGGACATGGAACACGGGATGGGACATGGGGACACCGGGATGGGACACGGAACACGGGATGGGACATGGGGACACCGGGATGGGACACGGGATGGGGACACCGGGATGGGACACGGAACACGGGATGGGACATGGGGACACCGGGATGGGATACGGGGATGGGACACGGCCAGGGGATGGGACACTGGGATGGGACACAGGGGTGGCGACACTGGGGATAGCCCGGGGATGGGACACTGGGATGGGGACACAGCCAGGGGATGGGGACACTAGGGACAGCCCCAGGGGCTGGGGACATTGGGGACACGGCCAGGGATGGGGACACAGGGATGGGGACAGGATGGGGACAGGCCAGGGATGGGGACAGGACGGGGTACGGGACATTGGGGACAGGCCCAGGACGTTGGGGACAGGACACTGGGGACACCCCCAGGACACTGGGGACACCCCCGGGACACTGGGGACACCCCCGGGACAATGGGGACACCCCCGGGACAATGGGGACACCCCTAGGACACTGGGGACACCCCGAGGACACTGGGGACACCCCCAGGACACTGGGGACACCCCGAGGACACTGGGGACACCCCCAGGACAATGGGGACACCCCCAGGATACTGGGGACACCCCCAGGATACTGGGGACACCCCTAGGACACTGGGGACACCCCCAGGATGTTGGGGACACCCCCAGGACAAGCCCTGCCCTTTCCCAGGTGCCCACGACTGAGGAGGCTCCAAAACCCCTTCTCCATTTTCTCCAGAGCATTTTTAACATCCCAATACTTGTTCCATTTAATCTCATAACACTGAATAGATTTAACAATATTTCAAATTTTTAACAGCATAATATTCAATATTATGCTGTTAAAAATCTAAATCTTTTAATATAACATTGTTTAATATTTCTTTTAGGATTATTTTAAATAAACCTTCCCCACTCAGAAGGGGAGTGAGCCCATAGGGAGGGAAAGCTTTAATTTCCCTTTTCCTTTTCATTTCCCTTTTCCTTTTCATTTCCTTTCCCTTTCCCACATTTTTCCAGCTCAGAGCAGATCAGAAAGCTGCAGCTCTCACCTTCCCTTCCAGGATCAGCTGTTTCCTTTTATTGATTTCTTTCTTCTCATCAAAATCCGCCCCCTCCAGCTCCTGGCAGAGAGGGAAGAGAAGAGCGGTGAGGAAAGGGCAGAGCAGAGCCACAAAGCTCAGCCCTCAGCAGCAAAAACCCCTGAAAAACTGTGAAAACCCCAGAAAATTCTGAAAAAACTGTGAAAAAAACAGAAAAATCCCCCAAAACCAGTGAGAAAAGCAGAAAATGCCCCAAACCCCATGAGAAAAGCACAAAATGCTCCAAAAACTGTGAAAAAAACAGAAAAACACAAAACCCTGTGAAAAAAATTGGAAAAGCCCTGAAAAAAAAATGTGGAAAAAACAGAAAAAACAGTGAAAAAAACAAAAAAAGCCCTGAAAAACTGTGGGAAAACGCTGAAAAACTGTAAAAAAAACCCTCTGAAAACCTGTGAAAAAACCAGAAACCCCACAAAAAACCTGTGAAAAAAGCAGAAACCCCCCAAAAGCTGTGAAAAAAGCAGAACCCCCCACTCACAATCTCACACTCCCTCCTGGTGACGCTGACTTGGGTCAGGATCTGCAGCACCTCCTGCTCCTGCACGGGGAACTCCTGCAGCTGCAGCTCTGGGGACACAGGGGGTCACAGATCCCAAAATCAGGGTCAGAAATCCCAAAATCAGGGTCAGAAATCCCAAACTCATGGTCACAGATCCCAAAATCTGGGTCACAGATCTCAAACTCAGGGTCACAGATC